GTTAAGCAATTAGTTAAAAATACACCCCAGTACAAGACACTTATAAACATTGCGTAGAGCCATTAAAACCCCAGTCACTAATATATAGTCTTTCACCAGGTACAGTATAGTCCACCTTAGAGTTATAAGCACAGTCTTTCCATTTCAGAAAGCCAGTATCTCGCTGATTGACCAGTCCTTTTCCATATCATTGAAGGGGCAAGCAGGTATGCTGAGAGGTGGTGTCCATTAAACACAATTGAACAGTTAGGGTCACAGCTGTGATTGAGCAAAGACATACTAGGATACAGGCCAACAGCCACTTCCTGCATCTCTGCAGTACGGATGGTGAAAGAGTTGCAGATCACCTTGTCCTGGGTTTGGCATCAGATACAGTCACACTTAAAGCAGTATTGATCCCTCAGCTGCTTCCGGTGCTCCTCACTGGTCATCAGCATATCCAGGTAGCAGATGGTGAGCTCTTCTCCCACCTCGATGTCTCGGACTGCACGCGGTAAGTTTGTCTTATGTTTTTGGTCCTGCATTCTTTTCTCCTCCCAGTTGTTAAAGACTTTAAAGGCTGTGTCCAATGGTTATAGTTGAGGGGTTTGTGGGCCCTTTTCTAATTTTTGGAGTTTGCGCCAATGCTGACTGAGAGATAAAATGCATCCAAAAGAACTTGTCCTTCCAGTCTAGTCTGCTTATTAACACCTATTTTGTAGTTAGTTAACAGGATTCACTTATATGATTCCTTTACTTCCATCTGGGAAAGTTGAACTTGAGAGAAATTTATCATAAAAAGACAACAAAGAAGAATTTTTAACATCCTTTTGTCCGAGCCACCCCCTTGAGAAGAGACATGTGGGGGGGTGAGAAGTCTGGAGGTTGGGGTTAGGTGCCGTGGCCTTTGGCACCCACCCCTTCTCCAAAGGTAAAAGAGAAAGACTGGAGGCTGGGGTCAGGTGCCATGGCCTTTGGCACCTATCCCTTCTCTGAAGGTAAAAGAGAAAGACTGAAAGTCAGAGCTAGGCACCATGGCCATAGATGCCTGCCTTTCCTTCCCAGATAAAGGTGAAGGGACTCACAGAACAGATAACAAGAAACAAGAGTAGTAGGGAAGGCAAGAATTTGAGTTGCAGGAGTAATAGGAGAGGACAAAGGAAGTGAAAGCCCTTATTTTGTTTATATTTTTCTGCAGTCTATTCCTTTGATTCAGCAGGATTCATGCCACCTGTCTCAGTCTTTGGGTTAGCTGGGGCATTTTGATGAATCAATCAGGAATCCAAACAGGAGTTGACGCATCCTATGGAAATATGCAAGCATATCCTCTACTGCTGGTTAGTAATATATCAGGCCCTCTCCATTGGCCTGTGAGAAGATCCTTCCATTTTACC